ATATTTACAGAGATGTCGATAGAAAACAGAAGCACACAATTATACGACTTTCCATTATTGGCGGATATTTCACAAAGAAATAGAGATCTACCGATTTCAACATATTCGCGAAAAAGAACTGGATCTAAACTTTCCCGTACTTCGATTAAATGAAAAGAACGCAGGTTCAATAAGTTCTATCTTATGTGATTATTCCTTTTCTCTTATATATAAATACAAAAAAATTATAATACAATAAAACATGAAAACATTCTAATAAAAATTAGAATGGTTATAAAAATAGATCAAAATTTCATTTTGAAAATAATAATTCGAAAGAGAGAGAGAGAGAGAGAGAGAGAGAGAGAGAGAGAGAGAGAATGTATATCAATATAATAATTATTTATAATAACTAATATATAATAATTAATGTTATCGTTAATATTTATAGATTGCTTAATATATTAAATAAATTTAAATTTAAATTTATCAACATTTGAATTTATCAACAAAAATTCAAACAGAATTATATTTGTTTAAATTCTTAAAAAGATATATGTGTCAATTGTTTACATTTTAATGAGATTTAACAAAAGCAGATTGTATATGATAATTTTTATTTGACAATTGTTCGTTACGCGATACAAATAGAAATTATTCTCCTAATCGAAATTAGTGTTGTTACAAGTCATCACATATATAGAAATACACTTTTAATTAGAGTATAGGGCACCTGCCCTAAACCGATTACAAGAAATATACACTATATTACAAAGCGATCGTATACTCATCAGAAATACATTTACATCAGATGATGACTCGACCGATTATGTTTATATGTGTATATATGCGAAAGTGTAGGAAAATACAGCTATTTCTTATAGTGACATAAAATCAGTAGTAGTATATATAAACAAAATGTTCGAGTCTTCGTCCAATCTTTGGCGCGGCTGAAGAAAGCGACTTGTTAAATTTCGTTACGCGGAGAACGATGAAAGTTCTCGTTCGTGTCACACGATAGCTATTTAATCACGCTCGTTTATTCTCTTACATTAAGGTCAACAGAGTTCAATTACCTTCGCGGCAATGCTCTAGGTTTCAACTGGATTCGAGACTCGATTGCTCTCACTCTGATTTATAATACACGGGATTGTGGCAGAGATGAAAGATATATTAGAAATGTTGGGCGTAAGTTTGCTTTCGACACTGTGGATATTTTCAAGTTGAAAACTTGTTGTAGACACAACATATACATATGCGAAGAAATTGAAACAAGCTATATATAATATAGCTATATATAATAGACGCAAACTACATATTTGATAATCTCTTTTGATAAAATTTCACAAAATCTGATTGTAGAGAGACTTAGGATAGCTTATAAAACTTATAAAACTGATTAACTAGAGACTTATTGCTACTTATTTGATTAATTAATTCTTTATTTCAATAATAATTTGTAACTAAAAAAAAAAATTTAGTTTAAATATAAGAACAGGGAAAATGAATTCTGTGATAATATACAATTAAAATTTTTGGCATGTTTAAATATAGGTAGAGCGTATAGTTAAAAAAATGGTATTCAGGGGAAATTTATTTAAGAAATAAACAAAATCTAACTTGTGAAATGGAATATGTTTTGTGCTTATTATCACAGAATTGTCAATTACTCAAATAATATATCGGGAACGTGTAGTTTCTTTGTGAGATCGTAGCACTTCATCGATACAATTTTAATATATACGGTAAGTAAAATAGAAAAAAGTTTCAGTAGCAAAATCATTTCGAAAAATATGAGTCGCAGAAAAAAAATAACTGCAACTCGATAATGAGTATATGTTTGTAAAGATTTCACTTCAAGTTTGCATTGTTTAAATTATCATTATCAATCGAGAGTGAAACATACGTTTACTTAATATACCATTAATATACACTCCGTCGTTTGTATAAGATAGATATATATCATGCTAGCGTTATTTACAGCAAAAGAAGAGAACTTCGAATACGATAAAAATTCTTGACAGATATGTTTAGTCATTATCGTTAATGTAAAATCATATGACGAAATTTTTTAATATGTTTTCAGAGCTTTCACCCTTAAAAACTTCTATCATAAGTGTGTGCTTATCTTACGGAAGTGAAGAAATATTTTCAGGGGAGATAATGATAAATAATTTTTTTCTTACACTTTATAGCATTTAATCTCATTAGCTTCCTCGAATCACTCTGAGGATGTGTTGATATCTTAACGATAAATTCATGAATATTAATAAATCACAGGGCGATTATGAGGCGCACAGTCACAATCGAAATTATAATTAACTAAATTAATGTTTAGTACAATTCTCTTTAGAAGCGTTATGTTCAAGCGTTAGCGCTTATAAAATAAATATTAGGGGATTATACTCTTTTCATGTTTTCTAAAAAAATTTTTCATTTCATAATATTTTTGAAACTTATTTTTACAAATCAACGCTGTATTTCTAAAAAAATTTTGATATTTGATATTGATTTTATATACTATTAATTTATACTTTTTTATTTATATAAGAGACACTCGATATTTGTCCATAACTCACAATGTAATTTGCATTATTTATTACTTATCGACTAAAACATACAAAATTCATCAATCGCTTATCTTTTTTGAATAATAGATTCCCTGAGGAATTCGAGGATAATTTTTCATTTCAAAAATAATAAAGTAATTGGAATCTCTCATTTAAATCACAATTTTAGAGACAATTTTAAATATTTGTTACAGTAGTTATTTTATATTTAATTCCATAATTCCATTTTTACTGAAAAGTAAAAATTTATTTTATAAACCAATTTTAATCTTTGTATGTTATTCCAAGAATACCAACCATAAGTTTGCAATTCATTAAAAATTGAACATGTTCTATTATAAATCATATTGATGTATTTTTAGATTCTTGTCTTTTTAAAAATGAAAGATATAATATACAAAAAATATTACACAAGATGCTACAAATGCATTCGAAGAGCAAAATGATTGCCCAACGAAGTGTAAGATGCAAATGTGATTTATTAAAGATTCCTAAAGATTAACGTGCATAGTGTTACCAACGATAAATGATATATCTTTAGTACATCACTTGGCACGACCTCTGATAACGATATTGGTAAATTAAATGATTGTTGAAT